ATCTTTATTCTAACCATACCATTTGATTACTAGACTCGTAGTACAATTTAAAGTCAGGGAATGTGGTATATCCATTATTTTTTCTCAGGATGGTTTGGGTTATTTGGGGAATTTCATTATCTGTAAGTTTTTTTTGTAGAGTTTGTTCTAAGACCTTAAAGAATGATCTTGGAGTTTTGATGGGAATTGCACTGAATCTGTATGATACCTTAGGGAGAATGGTCATTTTGACAATGTTAGTTCTCCCAATACATAAACATGTAATATTTCCACTTTTCCCTGGAATAAATCCAACCTGATCATGATGAAGATTTTTTAGATATACTGTTGGATTAGGTATGTTAAGCTCTTACTGAGCATCTCTGCATCAAAGATACTGCTTCATAATTTTTTGTGTGATCGTTAGGTCATACCTGACTGTGCTCAAGGCTTACTCCTGACTGAACTCAGGAATCACTACTAGGGTAGTCCTGGGGTGCTGGGGATCAAATCCAGGTAGGCTTGTATGTAAGGCAAGCACCTTACCCACTGTACTCTTTAGCCCCTATAGATTTCTTCAAGTAATATCTCTGTTTGGTTTGGGCATTAAGGCAATAATGGCTTCATAGGAGTTGCTAGTAAAGACTCCTGTTTCTTAAATATTTTGGAAGAGATTGAGAAGTATAGGCATTAATCTTCTTTGAAAGTATGGTGGAACTCCCTAGGAAACCAACAGGTGCTGGGCTTTTCTTCATGGGGAGAACTTTAATAAGTTTCAACATCCTTACTTGTAACTGGAATAGTAAGATTTTCTGCATCCTCCTGATTCAAACTGGGGAGGCTGTATGATTCTAAGAATCCATCCATTTCTTTTAGATTTTTCAGTTTAGTGACAGAGAAGTGCTCATAATAATCTCTTAGGATCTTTTGTATTTCTGAGATGTCTGTAGTAAGTTCTCCTCTGACCCAATTAATGTGGGTATTTTCTCTTTTGTTCCTCAGGAGTCTAGCTAAACACTGTCAATCTTATTTATCCTTCTGAAAAAAACAGCTGCTTGGTTTCATTGATATTTGTATTGTTTTCTTGACTTCTTGATTTGGATTTCTGCTCTATCAAGCTGTGAGGCTAAGTTATGATTTTCTTTTTCTTCTTTCCAGATAAGAGGCTGTATTGCTATTAACTTCCCCTTAGGACTGTTCCATAGGTTCTGATAGTTTCAATCTTTATTCTCTTTCATTTTGTGGAATTTTTATCATTATCATCTTTGACTCAAGAGTTATTTAACAGTATGTTGTTTGGTTTGCAAATGTTGGAATTTTCCCTTTCTTTTTATAATTATCTTCTACCATCATGGCAAGGTATGAGAAGATACTTGATTCATATTTTCCTAACTTTATGGATACTTCAGTTATGCCCCAGCATGTGGTTTGTACTGGACAATGTTCCAAATGCACTGGAGGTATGTGCATTCCTCTTTTTTACAATGGAGGGTCCTGTACATGTCTATCAACTCCAGTTCTTCCAATTCCTTATTTAGGACTGAAGACTACAAATTCTTCAGCTGTTTGTTCAAGAATGTTTTTTATCACACCCTCAAATCTTGCAGAGTAAAGCATTCTCAATTAGAATTTCTTTCCATTCAATATTATTATAAAATCTAATTCCATTCCCTTCTTGTCCAAGGAGATTTATTTTAGAAATCTGATGTGAATTTTATGTTATTTTTGTTGTGTTTGAATCTTTGCTTTTCTCTTGCCACTTTAAGTCACATTTTGGTTCCTGCCCTGGTGATTATAAAGCACCTTGGTATGGCCCAGTTTGAGTTTATTTTGCTCGGCACTCTTTGGGCCTTCTAGATCAGTGCACCTGTCTCTCCCGCAGACTTGGGGGAGCTCTCCATTATGATCTCTCCCGCCAGCCATTCTTCCCTCTTCTCTTCTTCCTCTCCTTCTGAAATTCTTAGAATACTGAGGTTATTCCTCTTCCTATTTTAATTTTTTTTCATTAAAAAGAAAAATCTCTTTTCTATGAACTCTTCTCTAAATGATGTGTATACCTGTCCCTGAGGCTCTGACTCGGTTTCTGGCTTCTTCCATCTGCTGTTGGCTCTTGCTACTGTATTCTTGCTCATTCAATTCTATTTGAATGAATTTTTATATTTTTTTCAACAATATTTGAATTTATTGACTTTACAATGATTTCTTCAGTTCAGCGGGCATTAATAGGACTGTTGCTCTTAAGTTATCTTTGTGCAGTGTTTAAAGTTTTAAAATACCTGATGACATACCTGGACTTCTGTCCTCAGTATAAGAGGCTAAATTCTATAATTTTACTTTATTATTCCAGGTATTCTGTGGGTACTAAGGATGGAACTCTTAGTCGCTTATGTTTCTACATACATCTAGCCACCAGCTCTCCCTCACAAGGGTTTCTTCGTTGGACTGGTGGAAGTGGAGTTAAATTGCTATCACTAACCAGTCAGAGATCAGGAACCAGGCAAAGACATAAGAACATATGGGCTCACAGCAGGGGGCATTTGGGGACAAGTCAAAGCATAGGGGGAGAATCAGTCCAACCTCCATGAGGTTAATCAGTGATTACAAAGGAGGGCAACAACGATACTTATTGAGACTAAGAAAACTTATCACAAAGTTTTCTGGATCATTCTGACGCACTGTCAATTTGGGACCTAATAAGGATGGAATTAAAAGCACCTTTGTTCAACACGAACAAATGCCACTGTGTAAAAGACTTTTAAGCTATGCTAATAGTCAAGCTATTTTACCTCCAAAATATACTTATTCTTTTTATTTTACTTCAGGTTAGCAACAATTATCTAAGTGTATGCTTTAGGGCAAATTTCTCTGCCCCATAAGTAAACTTCCTCCATCTGTCTGGGTTTACAAATTCAAAATACTCAATTTTTTTTTTTTTTTTTGCTTTTTTGGGTCATACCTGGCAGCTCAGGGGTTATTCCTGGCTCTGCACTCAGGAATTACTCCTGGCGGTGCTCAGGGGACCATATGGGATGCTGGGAATAGAACCCAGGTCGGCCGTGTGCAAGGCAAACGCCCTACCCACTGTGCTATCACTCCAGCCCCCCCCCCAAAAAAACTTCAATTCTAATGTCATTATGTAAATATTTCATTCACTACAGGAAATGGACAAACTGGCAGGCTACCGAATGTAACCTGCCCACACGGCAGAGTCTGGCAAACTCCCCGTGGCGTACCCAATATGCCAAATACCAGTAACAATGATGGGTCTCATTCTCCTAAAGAGCCTTGAATATAATCTCAGGGCTAGGATGAAGGAGACGTTACTGGGGCCTGCTCGAGGCAATCGACGAATAACAGGATGGTCGTGACTCGTGACTCGTGACAGGAAATGAAGTATCACAGAAACAAATAGAAATATTATTAGGGAAATATTATCAAAGAAAAAATTATGAAGGTCACCAAATTTGTTGTGTATCAAAAATCAGGTATCTCTACAGTGTCTAACTAAGCAAACCATGTCTATGCTGTTCACTACTTAAATGTTTAAAATTTATCATAAAATGGCTATAAACTTATACGTGAACTGGTATCAGTAATGACCATCCTGCAGCCCGATCCCCCACATCATAGTCTGTCTTCAATTTCCTTGACATGCCCAGATAACTTAAACTGGTCTGGCTGTGTGGTAAATAAAATGTAAAAATTAATTATAGAAAGCTAATTCTTAAATCAAATTATTTCACGTGAAGGGTCTTGCAGGTTGCTTTTTAAACTGTTAACATCATCTGGGGCCAGAGAGAGATGGTAGTGAGCGGGGCATTTCTCTTGCACGCAGGTAATCCAGATACAACCTCTGGAACCCTATATGATTCAACCTCTGGAACCCTATATGATTCTCTGAGCTGTGCCATGAGTGATCACTGAGTACAGAATCAAGAGCACCACTGGGTATGGCCCCCCAAAATCAAACAAGAGTAAAAAAAACTTTAAAAACTGTTAACATCGATCTCAACACATCAACAGCCTTGATCCAGAGACTCAGCAGTGAATTCCAGAAGACAGCCGCTCACCAGAGATCTCTCCGACCCCCTACCAAGTCAATTCCACCAGGGCACCTCAGATGGAGCAGGTGTGTCCTCTCTGCCTGCTCCAGAAAAGGAGCAGGTGTGTCCTCTCTGCCTGCTCCAGAAAACACCTTGGTGGCCTTGAGCTTCCAGAATAAAAACCCAGGTACAAGGGTTCAAGGACTATGACTCCAGGCCACATGGCGGCAGCAGAGACAGGCCTTCCCTTCCAGTCTCCTAGAGAGCTTGGGGTCCTGGCTGTCACACCCACGAACTGCCTCTGAGCACCATCTCAGTGTATCAGTGGCCTTGACCCAGAGACTCACAAATGAACCTCAAAATGGATTAGCTCCCTACAGAGATGTCTATGAACCACAACCATTTACAATTTTAGAATTCAGGACCATGTGGCCACAAGTGACCTCTCATGATATTCATAATAAGCAACAGAGAATAAATTATCTAGCATCTTCCCCTGGCAGGCTGGCTTGAATGGTGGTAGGAAAATTTGAAATACTGATGATGGGAAGGTGTAATGGTGGTAGGATTGGTGTTGAAATATTGAATGTAATCAATTAATGTGAACAATCTTATAAAAATAAAATTAAACAAAAAATAAATTAAAATTGCTAACATCAAAATTAAAAATATAAACCAATTATTGGGTACACATGAGTCACAAGCAATAGCATAAATAGTTGACCATGGAAATCAAATTGCCACAGAGCCCAAATCAACAGAATTGTCAAATAAGTAATGATATTAAAATAGACTACATTTTAAAGTTCAAATTTCAGGCATTTATGAAAGAATTTCTTTAGAAACAAAATTCCTAAACATGTCATCGAATACACCAATTCCAGACTTTGTTTAAAAAGAGAAAAAACAAAACTTCAAAGGTAAGTCTGGGGTGTGAGTCCGGACAGAATCACCAGGTCGTGGGTGCCACAGCCTCACCTGTCCAGCCAGTGTACGCAGAGCAGTCGTGTGGGTCTGCGGTCTTTAGCCCTTCTTCCATCTGCTGCAGAAGATCTTTGATTTTGTTCTGGATCCGCCTTGTGAAACTCTGAATGATCTGAGGACCATAAGAAGAAATAACATATTAAATTGCTCAGAGTAAGACTGCAATAATAATTATTTTAGCTATGTCTAAATTTGGATATATAATAAGACACAAATTACTGTACACAGCTGACCAAATTCCATGTTTCATTGGTTAGATTTAACTTCACTTCAGTTTTTTAATAAGATAATGGTAAATATGAATTATAAGTTGGATCACAAAAAAATCATAGAGCCAAAAACAAGAAAAATTGAAAGGCAAAAAGAATTTGCCCACACAATTATTTCAACTTCTTTAAGTTTAAAAGTTAAGAAAGAGAATATTTGTAATATGACATGATATAGAAAAAAATAACAATATAAGATATAAGCCTACTATTATCAATGTACCTTAGGGATCATTATCTGAAGTGATCTATCCACCAAGATAAAAAAGGAAGGAGTCTTGTCATTCCCACCACTGACAACACGGATGACTTTGCTGATCCTATGCTAAGTGAAATATGCCAAGCAGAGAGAGCAAATGTGGTATGATCTCTTCCACATGTAGAATTTTAAAAGAAAATAGAAACTCATTCAGCGTTTATAAAATGAAAAGGTATATAATTGATGTGGAATCCAAAAAGAAAAATAAACAACCCAACAACAACCTCATAGATCCAGAGAATACATTGGTGGTAGTTTTATACATTTGTAGTATTTACACAAATTATCTTTTGTTCTTGAAAATGGTTTCAGGAAATTAAATTCCATTTTGCTGCTAATTTTTTTTTTGTATACTTCACAAAAGTCAGGAAGACGGTCAATTTCCTTCCTATTACTTTCTAGAACAAAAATGAATGTGTCCAACAATGCTTGCCTTCACTCTGGGTCTTACACATAGTACATATATGCTATCCTGAAAATAAAAAACAAAACGGTGGAATCACACATTCTTTTTCAATACACCTCTATACTAATCAAAACAACTGATATAAAAATAGACACACCAAATCAAACGAAAGAGACCCCAGAAATAATTTCTACACTTTGAACAACCTATTTTTGAATGGGAGCCAAGAAATACTCAAAGGAAAAGAGATGGTCTTTTCAAATTGTGTTGGAAAAAAAAAACATTTCATTCAAAATGAAACTGAATCTCTATCTACAATCACAATAACTAGACGTTGATTAGAAATAAGCATCATTGTCACTGTCCTCCCATTATTCATCATTTCCTCGAGTGGGCCCAGTAATGTCTCCATTGTGACACTTATTACTGTGTTTTTTGGTATATCAAATACGTCACGGGTAGCTTACCAGGTTTTGCTGTACAAGTAAAATACTCTCGTTAGCTTGCTGGGATCTCTGAGAAGGGCAGAGGAATTGAACCTGGGTCAGCTGGGTAGGCCGCATGCAACATAAACCCCTAAAATAAAACTCCCAAGAAAAATAAGAAAGCTTATTGACACTGGTCTAGGTACATGTTTTTGGATTGTATATAGCAATCCAAAACATGCTTTGTGCAGGAAGATAACGTCAGGAAAGAAATAATACGTAGGAAGGAAGGGAGTTAAAGTACATTCTAGAAAAAAATCATCCATTTGAAAAAAATCAAGGAATTGGAGGTATAGTTAAAGTGACTTTGTTCCCAAATCTATAATCCAAGCAAATAAACTGTCCTCAAATGAAGAGAACAAATGTTGCAAGCAGATTTGATCTTGTTGTGTTTTGGTTGTCAAGGTCATTAGCTCTCTAAATGTTGACTGAGTGCTCTCTAAATGTTGATATTTAAAAAGCACTGTGGTCAGTACAGAAAATATAGTTACAGACAAGATAATCATGAATATACCCTCCTAAAGTTGAGATTCTAGAGAAGAATAAGTATAAGTAAACAATCTCATTTCAATATAGTACAAGGAAGGTGGGCTGGAGCAATAGCACAGTGGGTAGGGCATTTGCCTTGCATGCAGCTGACCTGGGTTCGATTCCTCTGCCCCTCTCAGAGAGTCCAGCAAGCTACCGAGAGTATCTCACCTGCACGGCAGAGCCTGGCAAGCTCCCTGTAGCATATTCGATATGCCAAAAACAGTAACAACAACTCTCACAATTTGTTGTGGGATGTGACTGGTGCCTGCTCAAGCAAATCAATGAACAACGAAGGACAGTGCTACATAAAATAATAAAAGCATCAAATTTAAAAGCTTTTGCAGGGGCTGGAAAGATCATTTTTTAAAAAAAAATTTATTAGTGAATCACCGTGGGGTACAGTTAGACTTACAAACTTTTGTGCTTGAGTTTCAGTCATACAATGATTGAGTACCTGTCCCTCTACCAGTGCCCATTCTCCACCACCAATGATACCAGTATCCCTCCCAACATCCCCATCCCATCCCTCCCCACCCCACCCCGCCTCTGTGGCAGGACATTCCCTTTTGTTCTCTCTTTCCTTTTGGGTGTTGTAGTTTACACTAGAGGCACCGAGTGGCCATTGTGTCCGATCTATAGTCTACATTCGGCTCGCATCTCTCGACCCGAGCTGGTCCTTCAAATACCCTTTACTTGGTGGTCCCTTCTCTATCAGAGCTGCCTTTTCCCCCAGCATTTGAGGCCAGCTTCCATGTTAAGCGAAATGAGTCAGAAGGAGAGGGGGAGACATAGAAAGATTGCACTCATCTGTGGTATATAAAGTAACAGAATGGGAGACTGACACCCAAGAATAGTAGAGATATGGAAAGATCATTATAATCTTTGATGAAGAACAAGAAACAGGAAACTGAGCAAGGAAAGCCTCTTCACAAGCGGTGCTGAGAGAACTGGGAAGCTGCATGCAAAAGAATGAACTCAGAACTCCAACTAATACCATATACAAAGGTTAAATCAAATTAATTAAAGGTCTCAATATCCGACATGAATCTGTGAGGTACATGGAGTAAAATGTAGGCAGGACCCTCCATGACACTAAAGCTAGAGGCATCTTCAAAGATGAAACACCACTGACAAGCAGAAGGAAGCAAAGATAAACAAAGGGACTAAACTAAATGAAGAAGCTTCTGCACCTCATAAGAAACAGTGATCAAGATCCAGAGACAGCCCATGGAATGGGAAAAAATATTTATCCAATACTCATCTGGCCGACCAGGGTTTGATTCCTCTGCCCCTCTCAGAGAGCCCGGCAAGTTACTGAGAGTATCTTGCCTGCATGGCAAAGCCTGGCAAGCTACCCCTGACTTATTCGATATGCCAAAAACAGTAAGAACAAGTCTCACATTTTGTTGTGAGATGTTACTGGTGCCCGCTTAAGCAAAATTGATGAACAACAGGAGGACAATGACAATGACAGTAACCCATCTGATGAGGTTAATATCAAAGATACAGAAGGCACTGGTAGAACTTTACAAAAAAAAATCCAACCCCATCAAAAAGTGGGGAGAAGAAATGAACATAATCTTCTTCAAGGAAAAAACTGAAATAACCAAAAGGCACATAAAAATGCTCTATATCACTAATCATCAGGGAGATGCAAATCAAAACAATGATGGAATATCATTTCATACCAGAAACTGGTACATATCAAAAAACAAACAAACAAACAATAAAAAAAACCAGTGCTGGCACGTATCTGGGGAGAAAGGGACTCTCCTTCATTGTTGATGGGAATGGTGACTGGTCTAGTCTTTCTGGAAAACAATATGGGCATTCCTCAAAAAACTATAAATTGAATTGAGTATCATATGACCCAGCAACACCACTTCTGGAAATATACCCCAGGTGTGGTAGGAAGGAAGGAAGGGAGTTAAAGTACATTCTGGCGGGGGGGGGGGGGGGGAACACACACAAAAACACACAACAGAAACACCATCTGCACTCCTATGTTCATTGCAGCACTATTCACTATAGCCAACGACAGATAAGTGAACTGTGAAGATGTGGTATATATATACAATAGAATACTACACAGCTGTAAGGAACGATGAAATCATGCAATATGCAGCAACATGGGAGGAACTGGAAGATATCATGTTAAATGAAGTAAAGCAGAAGAAGGACGATAAACACAGGATGATCTCACTTATATGTGGTATTTAGACTAACTGGATGAGGAAATGCAATGTTTCAAACGAGTATATGGAGGAGAAGGAAAAATCGAGTGGAGGGGAGGGGAAGACAAATAAGAAGCAGTGAGGTTCAAGTACGGGGTGGCGGGGTGGGGCAGGGACTAGGGTGGTGTTAAGGAATGACAGGTCAAATATCCAAACCAGAGTCAACAGCACCGATTCAAGAGACCAAGCTTCAACAGCCAACCTTAGGAAGGGTCCAGTCAGGAGGGAGCCTTGAGGTGGGGTGATATGGGAGGGAACCTGGGCACACTGGTGGAGGGAAGCTGACAGTGGTGGTGGGATTGGTACTGCAATACTGTATGTCTAAAACTCAACTAGGAATAACTTTGTAAATCACAGTTCTTAAATTTTTTAAAAAGTGGAAAAAACAGGGGGTATGGTGCCGCCAGCAGGTCAATCTGTACCTGTGAGGCTAGTGCATCAGCAGTATGATGGCACCTTCAGACTTCCAGATACCCCAAAATTGCTGCTGTGCCTTTGGCCAGAGCCCAAAAACTTGGGGCAAAGCTTACCAAGAAAGTAAATGGCCAAAAGTTAGGTATGTGGGAGACAGACTCACAAACCACCTCCGACTCAGCTATATATTTGGAGGCATGGCCTCTCTGGTTCCTGATCAAACTGCTTAATGGTCATGATCCCAGAGACTCAGAAACAAATCTAGAAACCCAGCGGCTTTTGGCAGAAATGTGTCCGGACCATGCAGTAGGTTACTGTCACAGGGCCACCGCAGGGGGGAAAGGGTACTGTCCCTTTGCCTGCTCCCCCTTGGCAGCTTGGTGACGACCATCCGCCAGAGGCCATTGGAAAGTCAGGTTTGGGCCTGCAGTGACGAGACACGCAAGGCCTCACAGGATGGGGCTGGAGCTGGCCCTTTCCCTCCCACCCCAACAAAACCCCGAGTCACCACCCACTA